AAAATCAACGATAAAAGAAGGAAGGAAAAAGCATACATCAATTGGAGAATGAACAATAGGTTACTGAATGATCAATGGGTTATAGAAGACATCAAGGAGGAAATTAAAAAATTCTTAGAGATAAATGAAAACACTGACACAACATATCGGAATCTATGGGACACATTGAAAGCAGTTCTAAGAGGAAAATTCATTGCTTGGAGTTCATTCCTTAAAAAAAGAAAAAACCAACAAATAAATGATCTCATACTTCATCTCAAAATCCTTGAAAAAGAAGAGCAAAACAACAGCAAAAGAAGTAGAAGGCAAGAAATAATTAAAATCAGAGCTGAAATTAATGAAATCGAAACAAAAGAAACAATTGAAAAAATTGACAAAACTAAAAGTTGGTTCTTTGAAAAAATAAACAAAATCGACAGACCCTTAGCGATGCTAGCGAAGAGAAGAAGAGAGAGAACTCAAATTACTAGCATACGGGATGAAAAAGGCAATATCACAACAGACACTTCAGAAATACAGCAGACAATCAAAAACTATTTTGAATCCTTATACTCCAATAAATTAGAAGCTAGTGAAGGCATAGATAAATTTCTTAAGTCATATGATCTGCCCAGATTGAGTCAGGAGGATATAGAAAACCTAAACAGACCAATATCAATTGAGGAAATAGAAGAAACCATAAAAAGACTACCAACTAAGAAAAGCCCAGGTCCGGATGGGTATACAGCAGAATTTTACAAAACCTTTAAAGAAGAACTAATACCAATACTTTTCAAGCTACTTCAGGAAACAGAAAAGGAGGGAGAACTTCCAAATTCATTCTATAAGGCCAACATCACCCTGATACCTAAACCAGACAAAGACACTTCAAAGAAAGAAAACTACAGACCAATATCTCTAATGAACCTAGATGCAAAAATCCTCAATAAAATTCTGGCGAATCGGATACAAAAACATATCAAAAAAATTGTACACCATGATCAAGTAGGATTCATCCCTGGGATGCAAGGCTGGTTCAATATACGGAAATCAATAAATGTTATTCACCACATCAATAGACTTAAAAATAAGAACCATATGATCATCTCGATAGATGCGGAAAAAGCATTCGACAAAGTACAGCATCCCTTTATGTTCAAAACTCTAGAAAAACTAGGGATAACAGGAACATACCTCAATATTGTAAAAGCAATCTATGCTAAGCCTCAGGCTAGCATCATTCTGAATGGAGAAAAACTGAAGGCATTCCCTCTAAAATCTGGAACAAGACAGGGATGCCCTCTCTCTCCACTTCTCTTCAACATAGTTCTAGAAACACTGGCCAGAGCAATTAGACAGACGAAAGAAATTAAAGGCATCAAAATAGGAAAAGAAGAAATTAAATTATCACTATTTGCAGATGATATGATTCTATATCTAGCAGACCCAAAAGGCTCTACAAAGAAACTATTAGAGCTAATAAATGAATTCAGCAAAGTGGCAGGATTTAAAATCAACACGCATAAATCAAAGGCATTCCTGTATATCAGCGACAAATCCTCTGAAATGGAAATGAGGACAACCACTCCATTCAAAATATCTTCAAAAAAAATAAAATACTTGGGAATCAACCTAACAAAAGAGGTGAAAGACTTATACAATGAAAACTACAGAACCCTAAAGAGAGAAATAGAAGAAGATCTTAGAAGATGGAAAAATATACCCTGTTCATGGATAGGCAGAACTAACATCATCAAAATGGCGATATTACCAAAAGTTCTCTATAGGTTTAATGCAATGCCAATCAAAATCCCAACAGCATTTCTTGTAGAAATAGAGAAAGCAATCATGAAATTCATATGGAAAAATAAAAGACCCAGAATAGCAAAAACAATGCTAAGCAAGAAGTGTGAATCAGGCGGTATAGCGATACCAGACTTCAAACTATACTACAGAGCAATAGTAACAAAAACAGCATGGTACTGGTACCAAAACAGGCGGGTGGACCAATGGTACAGAATAGAGGACACAGAAACCAATCCACAAAACTACAACTATCTTATATTTGAGAAAGGGGCTAAAAGCATGCAATGGAGGAAGGATAGCATCTTCAACAAATGGTGCTAGGAAAACTGGAAATCCATATGCAACAAAATGAAACTGAATCCCTTTCTCTCGCCATGCACAAAAGTGAATTCAAAATGGATCAAGGAGCTGGATATCAAATCAGAGACGCGCCGTCTGATAGAAGAAAAAGTTGGCTACGATCTACATTCGGTGGGATCGGGCTCCAAATTCCTCAATAGGACACCCATAGCACAAAAGTTAATAACTAGAATCAACAAATGGGACTTACTCAAACTAAAAAGTTTTTTCTCAGCAAAAGAAACAATAAGAGAGGTAAATAGGGAGCCTACATCCTGGGAACAAATCTTTACTCCTCACACTTCAGATAGAGCCCTAATATCCAGAGTATACAAAGAACTCAAAAAATTAGACAATAAGAGAACAAACAACCCAATCAACAAATGGGCCAAGGACCTGAACAGACACTTCTCAGAGGAGGACATACAGTCAATCAACAAGTACATGGAAAAATGCTCAACATCTCTAGCTGTCAGAGAAATGCAAATCAAAACCACCCTAAGATACCATCTCACTCCAGTAAGATTGGCAGCCATTATGAAGTCAAACAACAACAAGTGCTGGCGAGGATGTGGGGAAAAGGGTACACTTGTACATTGCTGGTGGGACTGCAGATTGGTGCAGCCAATTTGGAAAGCAGTATGGAGATTTCTTGGAAAGCTGGGAATGGAGCCACCATTTGACCCAGCTATTCCCCTTCTTGGTCTATTCCCTAAAGACCTAAAAAGAGCATGCTACAGGGACACTGCTACATCGATGTTCATAGCAGCACAGTTCACAATAGCAAGACTGTGGAACCAACCTAGATGCCCTTCAATAGACGAATGGATAAAAAAAATGTGGCATTTATACACAATGGAGTATTACTCTGCATTAAAAAATGACAAAATCATAGAATTTACAGGGAAATGGATGGCATTAGAGCAGATTATGCTAAGTGAAGCTAGCCAATCCCTAAAAAACAAATGCCAAATGTCTTCTTTGATATAAGGAAAGTAACTAAGAACAGAGTAGGGACGAAGAACAGGAGAAGAAGATTAACATTTAACAGGGATGAGAGGTGGGAGGGAAAGGGAGAGAGAAGGGAAATTGCACGGTAATGGAAGGAGACCCTCAGGGTTATACAGTGGAGGGGGTAGAGAGAGAGGAGGGGAGGGGAGGGGAGAGGTGGGGAGGGGGGAGGGTGGATGATGGGAAAGGCAGCAGAGCACAACAGACACTAGTATGGCAATTTGTAAATCAATGGATGTGTAACTGATGTGAATCTGCAATCTGTGTATGGGGTGAAGGTGGGAGTTCATAACCCACTTGAATCAAAGTGTGGAATATGATATGTCAAGAAATTTGTAATGTTTTGAACAACCCACAATAAAAAATTAAAAAAAAAAAAAAACCGATAGACCAAGCAGTCCTAAAGTTAATAAGTATGTGTAAGATTTCAATAGAATAATGAACAACTTTGCTGTGACTCACACAGAAAATCCTGCATCCTACAATTTTAAAAGTATACATTATTTTCAAATATGTCAAACTCTTATAAAAACTTGTTCTAAAAGAATCTTAAACATCGGTTGGGGGCGGAGGCAGTCTTAAAAACAGCTGGACATGATAGCAAATGCTTGTAATTTCAGCTATTTAGGAGGCTAAGGCAGAAAGATCACAAGGTCAGCCTGGGGAACTTAGTGAGATCTTGTCTCAAACTGTAATAAAGAGGGCTGGGGATGTAGCTCAGTGGCAGAGAATACTCCTGGGTTCAACCTCCAGTACAAAGTTGTTTTGTTTTGTTTTGTTTTGTTTTAACCAAAGAACCAATCTCTTACATGCCGTACTATGACACAATGTGATTAAATTGAAAAACAGTAAAATTATGGCCAATAACCAATGCATCTTTTTAGATTAAAGCTCTAAATTTCCAGAAGTTATCAATCTAAAATATAGTTTTTCCTGAAGTCCTTGTCCTATAGAACTACTGCTTTAGTTTTTATGTCACCTAGAATAGTGATTTCATTTGACCTTTACTTATTTATTTTGGTTCAGGGGAATGAACCCAGGGCCTCATGCATGCTAAACATGTTTTTTAATCTACCTGAGCTATACCTCCAGCTTCTGATCTTTAAGTACTAATTTTTTTTAATAAAGGGCTATTTAACATTCATCTTTTTTTTTTTTCAGGTAGAAGTCAATTCTCTTTTTTAGTGGCAACTACCTGTACCTTCTACACTGCTAGTATTCAACATGAAATATATGGAATTCTTCCCCTTAAAATATCCCTGTATTATTTAGCCAGATCAAGGAAATGTAAAAATTCAAACTCTGGTTCTCTGAGTATGGCTTATGGATTCTGGGGTTCCTGAGAGTCTTCAGAGGAACCACTAGGTCAAAACTATAATACCCCTACTTACTTTTTCTTCACTATTGGCATTTGCACAGATATTATGAGAGCAATAGTGAGTCAAATTGGAGAGCTTTAGCAAAAATCAACACAGTAGCATCAAAGTGTATTAGTAGATTTTAAAAAAGAGCCAGTTTCACTCAGGATGATCCTTTTACATCAATATAAATTATTAAATTTTTGAAATTTCAACTGAATATGTCTCAAAACTTCTATATTGACAAAATAAAGAGTACACATAAAGATACTTTTGCTACATATCAAAGTATAATGCTGTCTGGAGGAAATGCATTTATGGCACTAACTTATGGGCTGAACTACTGGCTTTTCTCATGCAACAGTATTTTCACCCAAAAGAAAGACTGATTAATACACTACTGTTATTCAAATATGAGTATCTGGTAGACATTTTCTTGAAATTGAACAACTGACAAAGAACAGACAAAAAAAAAAGAAAAAGAAAAAGAAAAACCATCGACAATATTAGTACCCAATGATAAAACTAAAAATCTGTGAAAACTTTTCTTGGCAATCCTAAATTTAATACTGTCTCAATACTAAGACTTCTCTGATAAGATAATTGGTGATACAGATTAAACATAATTCTGAAATGTATGAACATTTTGAAGATCTGCATAACTCAGTGAACCAATTTTTCCCAATGAAAAAGATGCATTCAGAAGACAAATGAGACATGGATTTCAACATAACAAAATACTGAATTTCATGGATATTTAAAATACAAATCCCTTCACTACATATCTGTGTGAAAGATGTATTATCTTCATATACTTTAATCAAAACAACATCTCAAAAGATTGAATACATATGCAAATATAAGAAACCAGCCACTTTTGCTGCATACAGTGCTGCACGTCAGTAATCCTACCTACTCAGGAGGCGAAGGCAGGAGGATCACAAGTTCAGTGCCATCCTGGGCAACCTAGACCTTGCCTCAAAATACAATTTAAAAAGGGTGGGGGTATAAATTCAGTGGTAGAACAACCCTGGGTTCAATCCCAGTTCCAGAAATAATAAACAAAGTATTTCAGTTTGTAAGATTTAATTTGATGTTTGTCTAAACTGAAGTATAAGAAAAAAAATTACAACCTGCACTTTTATTTAAAATTAAGTATAAAATAATTTTCCTAATAGTAGGCCATTTTGTTAAAAACAATTATAAGATATTCCACAGAGCCCCTAACTTCAGCATCAACTTTCAGGGATCTACTATTCTGTACCTGTCATGGTATCAGGTGCATCAGTGTTGCTGCCACGCTGAATGAGTCTGGCTGCAAAGCTGTTTTCATCAAATGAAGTCCCATTTACCACAGGGAGGTCTTCAAAGGGGTTTACAGATGCATCCGAAGATACAGTGATGTACTGTACTGCCAGCCACAAAGCTGTGCTGCCTTCATGGTCTTTTAGCTCTAAATCTAACCTGAAATAAGAAAGCAATGTGAAGAAAGATAAGTATAATCTTCAGACACTCTGTACTGCCAACAGTCTTATTAGTCTTTGTATACTTTTTGAATAATAAAATTTTATTTTTCTTTTACTTATTAAGATTTATAATACTGCTGGGTGTAATGGTGCATGCCTGTAAATCCCAGTGGCTCAGGAGGCTGAGGCAGGAGGATTACAAATTCGAGACTAACCTCAGTAACTTAGCAAGACCCTAAGTAACTTAGTAAGACCCTGTCTCAAAATAAAAAATGAAAAAGGGATTGGGATGTTGCTCAGTGGTTGAGTTCAATCCCCAGTTTAAAAAAAAAAAAAAAATCTTAACACTAAAAGACATTTTAAAAGAATTTTTCACTCACAATCCCACCCTCACAACTGCTTTTTCATTTCTCCATGTCGCCCTACGTACTGTTTACACTGCAGCAGCTGATTGAACACATATTCATTCCTGGCGGTGATGGACAGGTGTAAAGGAGTCCTGTAGGATAAAAAGAGGTCAATTTAAGACAGTCCTAATTCAGGACTACTCACAGCATAAGTGACTAGACTCCTAGGCAGAATAATCATTCACAAGAAATTCTATGTTTCTGCAACAGTTTTCCAAAATCATGACCAATAATCAAAATATGAAAGTGAACTTTTTTATGTTATCATTTATTTAGTGACCAGAAAATGACAAAAGCAATTAAAGAAAAAGATATCAAATATTCTCTAATTTAATACTGACTACTTCAGCAATTTCTATCATAAGTCTGCTTATTTTCCCTTACTTATTCTGGGGGGAGAAAAAACTTTTCTTCCTTCTCCATAATCTTCTGTTAAACACCGGAGTAGTAACAGATGAGAACTGATTAAGGAAGGGGCTGGGGCTGGGGCTCAGTGGTAGAACACTCGCCTAGCACAGGTGAGGTACTGGGTTCAATCCTCATAAAGATAAATAAATAAAGGTATTGTGTCCACCTACAACTAAAAAATATTGAGAAAAAAAAAATAAAAGAACTGCTTAAAGCCAGGCATGGTGGCACATGCCTGTAATCCCAGCAGCTCGGGAGGCTAAGGTAGGAGGATCTCGAGTTCAAAGCCAGCCTCAGCAAAAGCAAGGTGTTAAGCAACTCAGTTGTGAGATCCTGTCTCTAAATAAAATACAAAATAGGGCTGGGGATGTGGCTCAGTGGTTGAGTGCCCCTGAGTTCCATTTCCAGTATCCCCTCATCCTCCCTAAAAAACTGATTAAAGTGGCATCTGATCCCTCCTCAGTGCTTTTATTTAGCACTGAAGTGACCTAAAGGAGATTGCCACTGCAGAAAGGGCACCCAACACTGGCATCTACCTGGAGATGGAAAGATTACCAAAGTTCACTGCAGTTAGATGGGGGAAAAAATCTACAGGGGGCATAAAGGATGCAATTTTGGGAGGGAATAAGATAATTATCACATGATATTAAGATTTCATTGAGATCTATTATACTTTAAAGTACTTCACCTATCCTAATCCATTTTCCTATTTTGACAATGACACTTCACTGAAATCTTTTCTTATTTCTTCTGAGGGTTTTCAAAGGTAAAAAATAAAAATAAAATACTGAGCTGCTACGATGATAGGTAGGTCCCACCTGTGGCTTGTGATGTAGGTGGCTTTATTATCGACCTTTAGAGCCTCCCACACTGCTGTCCCCTAAGCGGCCCTTTCTGAGATTCTGAACCACAAGGAATCCTTCACTAAGTCCTAGGAAAAGCCAAAGGGAACACAAGTACTGGCAAATACATGAAGGGCTATGCTGCAGCAGAAGACAGCAAGCTGTGCAGATAAAGAGTTGTCTCTTTATAAGGCAGAATTGGGTTTAAAATAGGGACTTGCTAACAATTAGACCTCACAGAAATAAAAGATTGCCTTGAATTAGTGTGCTCTTCTTCTTCCAACTATCCAAGCAACTCCAAGAAATGCTAAAGAAGCTCCCCTTGGAAGAGGTGACTAGATAACCAGTCTAGTTCCTTCCATCATGAAGATGACAAAAATTGCTGAGAAATTCAAAGACTTCTGTTAATCAGGATGGAAATGTTTTCCACAAATGCCTCTCTCTGGTCTTAGTCATGACATTCATTTGCAGAACAAATAAACATTTATGATTTCAATAAACATCATATTCAATAATGCCAAATACCATGTTTGCCAATTATGGAGAACCATAAAATACCCTTCTTGGATTTGTGCTAAGGTTATCATCTCTCAGTTTCCAACTTACCTGCCCTTGCTATCCTGCATGTTGGGATTGGCACCAGCCTGTAGGAGGGCCTCTGCAATCTGTGCCATCTCAGACATCACATCTGTTGAATGTTTCTTTGAACTGTACAATGCCACAAGGTGTAATGGTGTCTCTTGGGCACCCAATGTAGCAGCATTAACAAGGGCCCCATTCTTAATAAGGAAAGTAGAAGCAAAGAGATCTCCTTGAAAAGAAATAAGATTAGACAAAGTAACATATATCAACATTCAGGGTGAGCTATTCTGGTCAATGTTTCCTCAAAAGGCAGCAATCTATAACTGCAGACAAAAAAGAAGGACAAGTAGGTAAGTCTGAAGAAATCTCTCGAGATACCTCTAAGTGGAAACTCATCATCAAGACTATGGAGTTATATACCTTAATTCAATAGGCCTCTCGGTCCAATTTTTTATTACTTGTGATCATCTGTCCTGCCTCCTCACCATAATATCCCCTTCATTATCTAAGAAAACCAAGCTTCTAATTTTCAAAGGCTTCTTCTGGTCATTTCTCAAAAAGGGCTTCTGAGATTCCTCCCCAGCACAATTTCTCTCTCTCTACTTTGTTGACTGACCACAATCTAAACCTAAGTAGTACTCAGCTCCAATCTGCTGTACTTGCACATGTCTGATTTATTACTATAAAAAGTTTTTTCTTGGGGCTGGGGCTGTGGTTCAGCAGTAGTGCACTTGCCAGGCATGTGTGAGGCACTGGGTTCAATTCTCAGCACCATATATAAATAAATAAAGTGAAGATCTATCAACAACTAAAAAAAGAAGTTTAAAAAAAATTTTTAAAGAAGTCTTTTCTTTTAGTTCTCATTTCATGCAAACAGAACAGTCTTACCAAGAAGTTTACTACTGAATATTTGAACAGAGAATCTGCATAAATTATTATTTATAAAACTTTCACATGGTAAATTAACTGGTTGTAAAAATGAAAATTCTTTCCTTTGCCTTAACACTTTTGTATGGAGGGGAAAAAAACTTACCTTAATATATTGACAAGAGGCCAAGAATTAAATTTATCTAAAGATATTAAAAGTATACAATTGTGGCCAGGTACAATAATGTACACTTGTAATCAAGTGGCTTGGGAGGCTGGGGCAAAAGGACTGCAAGTTTGAGGCCAGCCTCAGCCCTTAGCAACTTAGCAAGACTCTAGTCAACTTAGTGAGACTCTGTCTTAAAATTAAAAAGGGTGAATGATGTGACTCTGTGGTAAAGCACTACTGGGTTCAATCCCTAGTACCCACACCCCAAAAAGAATACAACTGTGAAAATACTTTTGTCAGATACCAATAAAGGAAAGATGACTCTAGATAGGTTACACAAATACATGTCTGAATTCACAACTAAGCAATTTGACAAGTGGCAATTAAATATTAAAATTAGTTGTTAAAAAACCAGGTAAAGTATACTTGTCAAGTTCACTTGGAGGATGACAAAGATCATATAATTATATTTTAAGATTAAAGTTCAATCTTCCTTGGATTTAATTCCTTTTATAATTTAAAGACAAAAAAAAATATTGGCTATATGTCAAATTTGTTTCTTAAGAAAATAAGGCAAGAATAACAAAGAATTAATGAACAGAAAACCTAGGAGCAAGTGTTTTTAGGCATTCCTCCTAGTTAGGTGGGAGCAACTGTTTCTCTCAGTGCCCTCCAGGTGGCACCAATTAGCTCCTAAAAGGAAAGGAGATACCTACTTCATGTGTTTTCATATCCACTATTGATTTATAAAACACAGACCCTGGAACAGGCATGGTGGCACACACCTATAATGCCAGTGGCCTGGAAGGCTGTGGCAGGAGGATCACGAGTTCAAATCCAGCCTTAGCAACAGAGAGGCGCTAAGCAACTCAGTGAGACCCTGTCTCAAAATAAAATACAAAATAGGACTGGGGCTGTGGCTCAATGGTCGAGTGAGTGCCCCTGAGTTCCTAGTAACCACCCCCCCCCCAAAAAAAAATTCCTAACAAAAAAGTTAAGTTTTTAACAATCCATATACAATTGTTCAGGAAACAGCCAGTAACTTTTATTATTCAATTAATAAAACCATATTTCATACTGTCCCAGTTAGTGCCACTGTTTTCAAATTTACTACAAATAACTGGATCCCTATTTAAGAAATCCATTGATTGATATTGGCTATTGCAGTTTAAAAAGTAGAAGAGGAACGAGATTTTTTTAATGAAAGCAACGATTCATCTCCTTGCCTAGATCAGGCTAATCAAAGGAGATGGCTACCAGGGGTCATACATGTGCCTCCTGTGAACTCACCTGAAGACATTGCCTGCCTATTGCATTCTTCTAACAGACTAGTACACCTAGTTAGTAGGATGATCACTATTTTGTTTATAGATTATAACATGTGTCCAGAACTAGACTTAGATGTCACATATTAAAGACCACCCTTTGTTCCTCTTATAATAAATTTAAAGAAGGTTTAACAGCTAACTTAAGTCTATTACTCAATTTAATCATTTAGGCAGGTCAAAAGACTGATATCAAGGTCAAGTAAAAAAAATTCCTACAGAAATTGAATCTGGTTATGGCAAATGTAAAAGCCACCATGTTGATCCTACCAGTCAAGTAGTAGTCACTGTGCTAAGTGCACTACTTAACACTGTCTCTCATGTTCCCAACAACACAATAAAGCAGAAATGATTTCCAATTTGCAAATGAGGAAAAGAAAACTCAGTATGGTCAAATGTCTGTCCACAGCATAAACAGGTGAGAGAATTCAAACCCTGGTACATCCAAGGTCCAAAGACAGTAGTCTGCCCACCACACCATGCCAAACTTGAAAACAACAATCTAGTTTATTATATCCACAAATTTGCAGACAATTCATAAATTCAGAATGGAAGATTAAATCATCTGAAAACAAGCATCAAACATCTAAAAACAATTCTTGGCAGTTCATGTAACTAAGCAATCACCAAAATATTGAATAACTCATAGATGTTTTTTCATCAAACATATGATTAAACTCCTTGAGAGGAAAGGAATATAATTTTCAGATTTTTTTTTTAAAGCAACAAGTATATTTGTTTCCAAAATAAACATCTCACATACTAAACAGTATGGGAAAGAGCAATTCCCTATGTGGTGAAAACTTTTTCCACTCAACACATACCCAGAACCAAGCACCCAACGGCTCTGCATAGTGCACAGTGATGCTTAGGGAAAATGCATCTGCTTTTAAAACTGACTCACTCTAAGGATTTCCCTACCCAATAAATAGCAAAATTTCCCTGTCTACCAGCCAACAAGCTCAACACTCTAATACATGGCTTAGGAGGATATTTATTTTAAAACCTTTGCTCACAAAGCACCATATATTCCACCAACAAGGAGCAACATCACAAAAACACAGCAGGGACAATATTTTCATAATGCATGAAGAGAAAGCTAAAATGCACATGAGTAAGATGTGGTGAAGCCAAGCACAGTGGCACACGCCTGTAATCCCAGTGACTCAGGAGGCTGAGGCAGGACAATCACAAGTTTGAGGCCAGCCTAGGAAACTTAATAAGGCCCTGTCTCAAAATAAAAATAAAAAAGGGCTAGGATGTAGCTCAGAAGTACAGCACTTGCCCAGCATGCACAAGGTTTATGGGTTAAATCCACAGCAACACACAAAACACACACTGTGGTGAAATCAGTATATCCTGTCTTTGCTGTCCATAGGGAAACAACAAAAAAGTAGCCACAGCAAAGTTCTTCTGTCAAGCCAACTATCACTCTACAAAATTAAAGCTTCTGACTTTTTTTTTTTTTGGGGTATGGAGGATTGAACCCAGGGGTGCTTAACCACTGAACCACATCCCAACCCTTTTTATTCTTTATTTTGAGAGAGGGTCCTGATGAGTTGCTTGGGGCCTTGCTAAATTGCTGAGGCTACCTCAAACTTTCAATCCTCCCACCTCAGCCTCCTGAGTCACTGGGGATTACAAGCATGCACTACAGTACCGGGTGGCTTTTGACATTTTAAAAAGCTTTCATCTCTCCATAGATTCTCTGTCAAAAATGACCACAGCCAAGTAAAGTTGGGCAGCATCCACTTGGAACATATTAATTAATTAATAAGGATATGTTAAAAAAAATAAGTCCAATTTTCCCACTTAAAAAGTTAATTCAGGAGCCTAAGGTAGGAGGATCACAAGTTTGAGGCCAGCTTCAGCAACTTAGCAAGGCCCTAATTAACTTAGTGAGACCCTGTCTCTAAAAAAATACAAAAAAGGGCTAGAGAAGTGTTCAGTGTTAAGCATCTCTGGGTTCAATCCCCAGTACCAAAAAAAAAAGTTAATTCAGGACAGGGGCAGTGGTGGAGCACTTGCCAAGCAAGCAAGAGGCCCTGGCTTTAATAACCAGTACTAGGGGAAAAAATAAGATTAAAACGTTCTGATTGTGGGCTGGGGCTCAGAGGTAGAGCGCTCACCTAGTACGATCCTCACCACCACATAAAAATAAAATAAAGATATTGCATCCACCTATAACTAAAAAATAAATATTCAAAAAAAAGTTCTGATTGTAATCCTACCATTTCCCCATTATCTCACTACTGATAATATACTCAAAATAACATTGCTAGAACAAAACAAATCTTAATCATTTTGCTATGTGAAAGTCTGTGAAAGATAAAACACTGATTCCCCAAAATAAGTTTTTAGGCTCCGGAGGCTGAGACAGGAGGATCATGAGTTCAAAGCCAACTTCAGCAATGGCAAGCCACTGAACAGTGAGACCCTGTCTCTAAATAAAATACAAAATAGGGCTGGGGATGTGGCTCAGTGGTTGAGTGCCCCAGAGTTCAATCCCCAGTACAAAAAGAAAAAAAAGTTTTTAAGTTTTCCTGGTTTTGGTATTTTTCTTATGTTCATGCTAGGATACAAAAGTAAAGACTTTCTATCATAATTTCTGGAGAATGTGATAATGTTGAACAAGTAAATGTATCAACTGCTTACAAGTAAAAGGTACTTCTCAAAAGCCACCTTTCTAACCTCCTCCCTCAGGCCCTGTCAGTCCTATGAACAGCCAAACTAACAAGGCCTGGGTAACAGTTCTTCAATCCCCTCTTTTACTCAAATCAAATTCTAAGTCTTGTAGCCTGCAAATACAGACTCAAGATGCCTTGGGAATTTTTGGAACTGAGTCAGGGAGTCTTCAAAAACCATATGAATAAAAAGAAAACTGCCTGCAAAGAAAAATATCAAATAGATTTCACCTTACCTCTTTGGATTCCTTTATGTAACAAGCTCCAGCCATTCTTGTCTACCATGTCCACATCAGCTTTATGACTAACCAGCGTGGTAGCAATACTCTCTAGTCGTCGTGAAAGGGCTAGATCTAATGCAAGATCTCCATTATGATCCACTTCATTCAGCTTCCCAGGGAGCTGCACAGAAAAGCTTGTAAATCAGCACTCAGATGGTATAATTTAATATATTTTAACTTCTCCCACCTAGATCCCTAAATATCATCTCTTAGACCAATGTCAAATTTTGGTGCTATGATACGGCTTACTTCCAAATTCAATTCATTCATAAACATCTACCAGGCCTCCTCAAGGCACATGCTTACAGAGAGCAGAGAACTAAAAAGATTACAGAACAGACATAAACAGTACCGAGGACAATTAAGGACCATGGCAGAAAAGCAGACAGTTCATTAGGGCACAAGTGCCAATGGCAGAGTTCAGAGAACTTCACAGAAAAGAGCTATCATTTTCATGAAAGGCTATGGCTTAATTCTTCCCAGAAGTTTAATGTTTCTTCACACACTGAACACCCAAGATAAAATGTTTCATTCCCATCTGTCAAAAGCCACTGATTTTTATTAAGGTAGCGTGGCAGGCAGTGGTAGGCAGAATAACAGCTCCCCAAAGATTTCTATGTCTAATCCCAGAACTCTGTGAACATACACCTTACATGGCAAAAAGCCCTCTGCAAATGTGATTAAGTTTAAAGGCCTTATGATGAGGAGAGTATCCTGGGCTATCCAGGAAGGCCCAATCTTTCTAATCACATGAGTTCTTAAAAGTAAAAGAGGGAAGCAGAGGAGTTGGTCAAAGAAATGCAACATTAGAAGGACATGATCTGCCACTGCTGGCTTAAAAGATGGAGACGGGAGCCACAAATCAAGGAATGCGGTACCACCCTTCTCTGGGAATAGCCAACAGCTAACAGCCAACAAGAAAGTATGTGTGGTTATTGCGGGGGGGGGGGGGTGTTGGGGTTATGGCTTAGTGGTAAGAACACTTGCCGAGCATGTATGAGGCACTGGGTTCGATTCTCAGCACATATAACTAAAATAAAGCTTCATCAACAACAACAAACACAAAGAAGAAGAAAAAGAAAAAAGAAAGAATGAAAGTGGCGATCCTGGTTCTATAACCACAAGAAGCAGAATCTTGCCATTAATACAAACAAGCAGAAAATGCATTCTCCCCTATAGTCCTGTACAGAAACATAGCCTGCCAATACCTCGATTTTGGTCTGGTGATGCCTGTAATGGATTTTCCATCTCTAAAATTGTAAGATCATAAATTTGCATTGTTTTAATATATTAGGTTTGTGATAATTTGTTATAGTAGGGAAAAAAAAAACAGATTTCAGCACCTGGAAGTTAGATATGGTTACAACAACTACCTAAAAATATGAAAGTGGCTTTGGAACTACTCAGGAGACTGAGATTGAAATACTAAGCATGATAGAAAACAAACAAACAAACAAACAAAAAAAAAAAACAGGGCTGGGGTTGTGGCTCAGTGATGGAACACTCGCCTAGCATGTGTGAAGCCCTGGGTTCGATCCTCAGCACCACATAAAAATAAATAAAGATATTATGTTCAGCTAAAAAATAAATATTAAAAAAAAAGAAAACAAAAAATAAATTTCCTTGAACAAGCTATTAATATGTATATGTATATTAAATGTGTATTAAATATTGTGTGGTGCTGGCCCGGAAGGAAGTGAGCAGTACGGTAGGGAAAAACAAGAGCATTACAGCTTTAGAAAAGAGGAAAAAATGGCAAAGCAGATATAGTACCTGTGAATCCATTTCAATCAGATAAAGGAAGACCACATCTTCTCTTTCCACTTTGATAGCTTTGTGTAATGGGTACTCTGTCTTGGATTTGATCATTTTGTATAACAACTGAGCACCCATACTGCTAAAGTCCTCCTTTCGTAAGTCATCCTAGGGATTAAAAACACAATGAATAGCAAAACAAAGAGTTAACAGTAATGACAACTGTCACTTAGTCTGTGTGTCAGGCCCTATTTTAGAGCTTAACATGTCCCAACTAATTCAATTCTCACAAAAACCCCATGAGATAGTACTATTGTCATTTGCATTTTACAGATGAAAAAAAGTAAAGCATAAAGAGGCTGAATAACGCCAGGCATAGTGGCACACACCAATAGTCCCAGCAACTTTTGAGGCTAAGGCAGGAGGATCGCAAGTTGGAAGCCAGCCTAGATAACTTAGCAAAACATTGTCTCAAAAAATAAATAAGGTTGGAGGTGTAGCTCAGAGGTAAAGCACCCCTGGGTATAATCCCCAGTAATACAAAAGAAGCGAAATAACTTGTGCACAATTAGACTGGGAGTAAATGACTAATAAGCCAGTATCTGGAATCAATAGGCCCACTTCTCACACCTGTACTCTTTACCACAGTACTACTATCTCTCAAGATGGTAAAGCATATAAAGTGATGTAATATGGGAAAATGGTTGGACCTCATTCATTCCATTAGCAGAACCCTGAATAGACCTACATCTCTCAAATTTTTCTGTATCCTATCCTTACAAAGGCTTAATTTGTTCAGTTTTTACTTGTACTTTACAAGCTACTCCCATGTTTCCAATAAATCTTTACCTCCCCCTCAAAAAAAAGGGTGGTAAAGCATAAGCCAGGGGCTGGGGATATAGCTCAGTTGGTAGAGCACTTGACTCACATGCACAAGGCCTGGGTTCAATCCCCAGCACCACAAAAAATAAAAAAGTACATGCTTACAATTTATTTATTTACACACACACACACACACACACACACACACACACACACTGCTGATATCCCCCAAGAACCAAGGCAAGCAGAAGCCCTCCCAATGAGAATAGTCCCCACCTCACTAAGCCTACAAAGATGGCAATTACAGAATCAATCAGAACTTTCACAAACAGTTCACCCATTGAGTCGTGGCTTGCCTCCACTATTGCCTTCGAGGCAAGCACTCTACCAACTAAGCTATATCCCCAGCCCCCTCTTAAAAGACAGTTTTTTTAGACACCTTTTCTGAAGTATTAAGACTTTTCCCAACATGTTGTTGCATACCAAGCAATGAACAGAAACTAGTTTACAAAACATAGCCCTGGCATTTTAAAAATGCAAAATGACAACAAAGGCATGTAAAAATGACTCCTATTATGTATAATTACAATGCAACAATAAAGAACGAAAAATTAAAATACATTTAATAATGTCTCCATCTGATGGAGAAAGCAAGGGAACACTCTGAAATGGTGCTGCGGAGTGGAACTTGGGGCCTGCTGGTCCCACAGTGGCATTCTGCTCCTGCAGTTTGGTCACTGCTTCCACAGAATAAGGGCAAAGGCAAGTGAACTTTCCAAGTCTGTTTCTGAACTTGAGCTACCTTCTAGTCTGAAATCACAGAACTATCAGACTTTCAAAACTGAAAAGAGTCTCACAAAATCATCAAATCCAACTACTTATCCTTCAATATTGTAATACGAGAAAACTAGGTGCCACAGAGGCAACTGTTCTCAGAATCAGGTTCCTTGCCTGGGTATTCTGACTGGCAGTGGGAACGCACTGTCCATACCTCTCAATCTCTCACTCACCCAATGACTGGCAATAATCTCTGCACAGTAGTTCATCAGTGTGCTGGCATTCAGTTCCTCTGCAGTCTGATAGAAGCGAATACAGTTCCTAACATTCACCAGGGACATAACACCCTTTTCACATCTATAAGAGAACATTAATGATGAACAGTGTTAACAGGAAAAATACAGTCACAAATGAACAAATCAAAGCAATAATCTGTGTACTGGTTGGCTATATGTAACACCACTAATGTACAAAGTTAAACAATGCAGGCTGAGGATATAGCTCTGTTGGTAGAGTGCTTCCCTTGCATGCACAAGGTCCTGGGTTCAATCCCTAGCGTCACCAAAAAAAAAAAAAAATTTTTTTAATGTAATTATAAATAAATTATAGACAGGCTCCCATATTTCCAAAGTACTAGAATTTCATTACAATATTATTTTGCTCAGTTCTGGTCAGAATCAAAATAAACTGCATATAAACTTGTTAATGAGCAAAAATACCTGAAATGCCTTAAAAGTAATCACATAAAACTCGCTGGTCAGATACACAGATAATTTTTAAATCAGACACAATAATATGAGACACATCTGTAGTTCCAAACATCAAAGCTCCATTATGTGGACATTATGACTTAAAAATTATTTCAAATGATGCTCTATGCCTCAATAAAATAAAGTCTCCTTAAAAGACCTCCCAAAAGATGAATCTGTATGATATATGAATAATAACTCAATAAAACTACATTTTAAAAGCCCTCCCAAAATATCTATAATATATAGATACAATTAAAGAGTCAGGCCGTAGAACACCAGGGTTGAGAAAAAGAGGCCACAAAGGATGTCCCCCATAAAACCAGGTAACAAGACTCCTTTGGAATCACTAATAAGAGAACATCAACTTCATCGGGAAAGAGAGAGAGCTATATAGAGGAAAACAAGCCTCTGATGGAGCACATCCTAACCTAGAAGGCATGGTACTGGAAAGTCCAGGGTTACCTCTACCCATAATTCCTGAGCAAGTCTCCCTAAGAACTAGGCCTATGAGGAAAAGAAGTCATGGCATGGTCCTTCGTCTCCCTTGTCTACACATCACCCTACAAATCAGATTTACCTCCAAGAGCTAACTCAGAGGCTTGTATAGTACAGTGGCAGGAGTATTCCCTGAAATTACACCACTGCTTCTCCTAGCCCATATCCTCCACCTAAACTCTTTTCTCATCAGAAAAGCCGAATGTAGTGGAGAGAGCAAAATGAACTATAAGGAAAAAAAGAGCTGGGTTGAGAGCCACTGGAAAAAAAAAAATTCCCTTATACTGGGGATTAAACCCAGGGGTACTCTACCACTGAACTACATTCCCAGCCCTCTTATTTTTTGAGACAGGAACTCGCTAAGTAGCCCAGGCTGGCCTCAAACTTGCAGTCCTCCTATCTCAGCTTCCTAAGTAGCTGCCTCCAGGCTTAGCAAGATTCTCTGAATTTTAGGGCCAAATTACTTGAGTTCTTGTTTACTTCTCTGTAAAATAAGGATGATATTCTACTTCAGAGGTTTGCGGAATCTTATGTTTTTCAAGATGAAAGAATACTAGATCTACTCAGTACAGTTTGAGGTGCACAGCAGGTATACTCATACTATAAATAACTGGCTAACAGATAATTTACAATCTCAATAGGTGAGCTTTAGATTACAGAAGTAGAGAAAGAAGCTGGGGGCAATGGCTCACACCTATAATCCCAGCTACTCAGTAGGCTGAGGGAAGAGAATCACAAGTTCAAGGACAGCCTGAGACTTAGTGAGACTGTGCCTTAAAATTAAAAAACAAAAAACCCCACGTGACCATGGGAATAGAGATGGGGAAAAGAAAGGAAAAAGGTTGTGAGAAGAACCTGGGAAGAATGAAGAACCAACTTTCACACCTCTCTAATAAAACCTTAGGTCCAGAGCAACAATATAGTCTTAGAATCATTTCTGCATCTAGCTATATATGCAGGCACCTACTTTACAAACTAAGACCTAGGCTTCAGTGCTATCTTCAACTAACATTATTGACCTGGTGTAAATAAGCACCTCTCCCAAGGTGTTTTTTTGTTTTGTTTTAAATCCAATTCAAATCACTATCTAAAAAGGTTACTATGATAGCAAGAATTCCATATGGTACTGTTCCATTCAACAGCATCATATTTCTAAACCTCAATTTTTGTACCACTGGCTTCCCCAAACTCATACCATACCACAGCAAAGTCATTCTGACCTCAGCTATAAAATCAAGGCATTCAAGCAGAAAATTTCCCTTTACAGACAGATGAAAACTTTTTCTACTTTTACAATGACAGATGTTCAGGAGATTGCCATCCTAACACCAGGAAGCCTACCACAGAATAATCTCAGGGAGGTTAAGATTCACACCCGCAGAACACTTTACAAAGCATTTGTACAAATGTAGACAATCTGAAAATTCCATTTTCTTCCTTTTTACTGTCAAATGACAGGACTCAAACATGTTTCATGAAGACAAGACTTTTATTAAAACTGGCAGATTCCTCATTTTTACTAATTCTAGGATCCCCAGAATGCTATTTGTCATTGGGGTAGCCTATAAATAGTTAACTGACATTATTTACACAACCAAAGAACATGTGACCTCACTTTATCTCTCTTCTCTTTTAAAAGTAGCAGCATAGGCTTTCTTCTGAAGGAAAAATGCTTTCAATTTTATAAACAAAAATCATATAGATACATAAAAACAATCAACCTAGTTTTTAAAGTACAAATCAAGCACCACACAAACTCATGTCTTTTTTTAAATCAGTCTTGTATGTATGTGAGAAACAAAAGAACTGTTGAAAGTAAAACAACAAAAGGTGAACAGTGTTGGAATTAGAGAGGACTGTTTTTTCTTTGTATGAGTCTGTATTTTCCAAATACCATACACTGAACATGTAGTGTGCTTTTACGTGAAGAAAAACTGTACTATTAACTTTTTTCATACACATTCTTATTTTTAATAAAAGCATTTTCTTGCTAATTAAAAAAAATTCTTTTTCATCAAATTGATGATAGTATTGTAAAACCACCAAGATCCCTACATTACAAATGAGCAACACCTGCTTCATATTGAACTGCACACATTTGTCTGAACCCTTTCACTTACTTATCTCAAACGTGTTATTTCTCCCGCTGACAGTAGTGGGCACTCTGTGACCCTTTAAAGAGCCAATATATGAATCCACTCCTGATCTCTTCCATCCCAGCTCTTAAAGAAAGCCATGATAGAATAATTTAATACCCACATCCAACATTACAAATCTGAGCATCTGGTAATGTTGCTAGTTATGAAACCTAATCAGTCAATAAACAACAAACATTTTAATTAAAGAATCTATTACACAGATTACAATTCTCTAAACCACCCCAAGGGCATTTTTATTAAAGCAATTTAATTTGTAAGCAAGTCTGACATGGTCAATGAGAGAAAGCTCAGGAAATCTGAAAAAATAATAATAATATAAATCACACTCAATCTAATTAAAATAAGTCTCACTTTACTCTCAGATGGTTCAAAAACAAACAAAAGTTAATTGCAAGGCTTTAACAATAAAATTAGCTTTGCTATTAAGCCAATACTACTTTGCTTATAACCTAATCCTATTGATCTTGGACCTGTTTTTGTTGTTGTTTTATTGGATTCAGATATTAAAATACATTCAAGCCAATATCAATCAGAAGAGTTAGAAGTAAGCTGTTTACTGATTTGCAAGAAGCATAGGGGGGCAATCCCAGGGGGAACATCAGCTCCATAGTGAAAACAGAGCAAGCAGCTCTAAGCAGCAAAGTCTCTCTTGGTTCTCTTATGTGAGAGCAACACAGCAACAGGTGGAGCATCTCTTGATGGCTGAACCCAGTCCATCACCACCCAGGAGAAAAGCCATTTCTTCATGTACCCAAGAGAATATAAAAGATCACTGAGTGTTATAAAAACATATTGCAAGGGCCACATCTCCAACTGATGTTCAAGGGCATTCTCCTGACATCATTTAGGGAGCATTTATTTTTTGTTGTTCTAAAAATGCCAACTTGGGAGAGCAAGAGATAAGATATAAGAATATAGCCTGCTATCTCCTTGGGACGTAAAAGGCAAATAACTTAAATTTAGAAACACTGGCTATAAAACTTACTGAACCACACTCTCTTGTATTAATTTAGGCATTGGTATGCTTCCAAAAGTAAAAAGTATATGGTCAAGTAAAAGTATATTCATCTCACTAGATGTATCAGAAGGTAGAATAAAATGTCAAAGAAAATAGAATGGGATGGAAAGTTGAGAATTTGAATACTGTACAATAATATTTCATACTCAAAGTATCTGTTTACATAATTATGTAATCTCAGCTAACAGACCACAGGGAAAAAAAAAGAATACCTAAAAGTTTTGGCAAAAAGTAAGCTTGCAAAATAATACAAAACAAGGGAGATACCAGATTCTCTCCCCACCAACACCATTAAAAGAACACCTTGCAAAAGTTATTTACATTAGCAGGAGAAGCTGTTTTCCCAGAGCTTGGAATAATTAAAGCTCAGTCATCACCATCTGAGGTGCTTGAATATATCTGCTGTGACTTGCCTCTCCCTAAGGAGCTGTAGCTGAAACCGATTTGCTAGTTTCATCAATTCAGTCAGGAACACATCATCCTCTCTGAACTCCAGCTCATCTGTGTAGATCCAGCGAAGCATTGTCATTGTCACCTCAGGATTAGCATCTGGTTAAAGAAAGAAAGTAGAAAAACTGAAAAAGCACTGAATGACACACTTAGGCCTTCTTGAGGAACACCTTTAATTTAATATTAAAAAAAAAAAATTATGGGACACCCAACTCAAAGCAATACTGAGTCATTAAAAATGGCAACAAAGCACGAGGCATGGTGGTGCACACTGTAATCCCAGAGGCTTGGGAGGCTGAGACAGGAGGATCACAATTTCAAAGCCAGCCTCAGTAATGGTGAAGCGCTAACCAACTCCGTGAGAGCCTGTCCCTAAATGAAATACAAAATAGAGTTGGGGATGCAGCTCAGTAGTCCAGTGTCCCTGAGTTCAATCCCTGGTACCCACTCCCCCCAAAAAATAAATAAATAAATGGCAACAAAGCAGTCTGGGCAACATCCGACTCCAGGAAAATGAAAGTTTTACATAGGATTATGATTAGGTAAATGAAACCACAAAAATAACAGATCAAATCACCTAGGGACAATATCTGAAACATAAGGCAAAAGTTACCATTCTAATAAAATGATTTTACAAATAAAAATGGAAAGACAGGCACTCAATGAAAAATGGATATCAACAGGTAATCAGAAAGATAAACAAAAATTCCTAATAAACATTATAAATAACCACATGCAAATTTAAAGTACCTTTTCTCAAGACCAGCAGATTTAAGAAATAAACAAACTTTCCCACAGCAATTATACACACATTATAATCCTAATAACACAACTGGGCAAATATGGCAAAATATAATACTAAGAAACTCAGCATGGTGTTGCTTTTAATTACAAAAAACCTGGAACAAAAATCTTAAAAGTACAACAAGAGAGAACTGATTAAATAAAGAATAAATTATATGCAGTGGAAAAAATCTGCAGCAATTAAAAATCTATATCTACAATATGAAAAGTTATTTACTTTAGCAGGTAAAATAGGCTAAAATATATTATAAAACAATATTTCATTTTTGTTGCACGTATTCATGGTTCATATATATATGTACCCATGTGTTTATGTGTTATATAACTACACATACTATATACACATGCAGTTTTGTCTATCTAAAGATAGAAGGATATGGGCTGGGGTTGTGGCTCAGTGGCAGAGCACTTGCCTAGCATGTGTGAGGCACTGGGTTTGATTCTATTCTCAACACCACATATCAATAAATCAATGTCACTGACAACTAAAAAAAAAGATAGAAGAATACATATTAAAATATTAAACCAGGCATAATTAATAACTAATTTTATCTTTACTCTTGAACATTACTTGTAAAATTTTTTTAAAGTTAAAATAAAAACTATACACCAATTTGGAAGAACTGCTTGAGACAAATTGTGGCATAAAATATCTAAACTATTATTTCAACTAAAAGCAACTTTTGATTAGTCAAAATAAGACTAATGATGAGAATGATGTTTAAAGGACCACTTGAAGCTGGGTGTGCTATAGTACACCTGTAATCCCATCGACTCTTAAGGATGAGGCAGGAGGATTGAAAGTTCAGCAACTTAGGCCCTAAGCAACTTAGTAAGACCTTGTCTCAAAATAAAAATTTAAAATTTAAAAGGGCTAGAGATTTGACTTAGCACCCCTGAGTTCAATCCCTAGTACCAAGGGGAAAAAAAAAAAAAAAAGGACCATTTGAAATCATGGTCTTTATCAGTGGTTCTCAAAGTGTAGTCCTGGGCTGCCAGAATCAGCATCATAGAGGAGGAACTTGTTATAAAGTCCAAATCTCAGGCCTACACCAGACCTCAAAATCTGAAGATGGGACAAGCATTTGTGACTAAGTCCTCTATGTTATCCTGACCTTCACGAAAGTTTAACAAATGTGCCAGTAAAATAGAGCATCTCTGTCATCCCAGTTCCTTGGAAATTTCAACAGAAGGACTGCAAGTAGAGCCCAGCTTGAGCAGTTTGACAAGACCCTGTCTCAAACGTAGAAAAAAAAAAAAGGGTTACGGGTATAACTCAGTGGTACAGCCTAACATGCTCAAGGCCCTGGGTTCAATCCCCAGTACTGAAGGGGAGGAAAAAAAAAAACTAAAGAAAGAAAAACTCTTAATTATTTATAAGAAGTATAATAAGAGCCAATAACATTTTATTAATAATTAGGCAATAGTTCATTAGCTCTGATTACATATAGTGGTGAGGAAAGATCTAAAGAGAGTAATGTCGAATGGAAATTGAAGACCTCTGATTTATGTGAATCAGGTAAAATTTACCATCACCTGAAATGATCACGCATTACAAGAAAAAAAAAATGAATAGTGGGGAGAAAAAGTGAAATACCAGTCATTATGTTAAAGTTTGATTCTTTTTTCTCTTCTTTGGTAATATGGTAACAGCATTTTAAAAATGTTTGAAGGGGAAACATTTTAAAATTAAACAGAAAGTTAGATTCATTTTAAAAATTTACTTAAGAACAGGTACTTCAACTAAGCTTTAGGGATTTCTTTGTGATTTTTTTTTTTTTTTTTTTTTTTTTATGGTGCTGGGGATTGAACCCAGGGCCTTGCACTACATCTCCACTCCTTTTATTTTATGTTGAGACAGGGTCTTGTTAACTTGCTCAGGCGGGCCTTGAATTTATAATCCTCCTGCCTCAGTCTCCTGACAAGCTAGAATTACAGTTGTACACCACCACACTGTAAACTAGATTTAATACTTATATCATCTTAATAAAAAAGGAAAAAAAAAGGTGGATCATGCAACTGTCCAGAGTTGCTCCAAATGTGAAAACACAAACTATTCCTCTCATATAGCCTTATTTTGGAAAGACAGCTTATTCTTATCTGATAACAGAATTATCACTACCACTGCCTGTGGGAGGCCATCCTCAAACGTGATTTGAGTTACCTCCCTGGCTGGGTGAGAGGCGCTTGGACACAGCGGTGTTAAAGCCATCCCACAACTCTGTCCCAGATAAGAGGGCTTGTCCATGCAGAGGCGTGCCTGGCCACTGACCTGAAGACCCAATCGCTGGCCCTGACCTTGGGATGCTGCCCCCCTTAACCTTCACTGGATGAGATTTTCCCTTGAATTTTTTGTTCCCCAATAAAAGCTCACTCCCTGGCGTGTGCTCGCTCGCTCTCGCGCCCCCCTCCCCCTCCCCCCTCCCTCTCCCCCTCCCTCCCTCTCTCCCTCTCTCTCTCTCTCTTGCCTCTTCTGTAAACCTCGCCGCCACCGCATTAGGTGGCTGGAGGCGGGTGCTAGGAGAAGCCTTCTAGGAGTTGGGGTTTAAAGGTAAACGAGAGTCTGTCTCTTTAATTAAAACTCACTAGCAATTTCTTATGCATCAAACCTTCTTTTATGAAGCTCACGCTGGTCTGGTGGCAGAACTGCCCCCCAACATCTTTCTTGTAGTAATCTCTCTTTAATTGTATGAAAATTTGGTTGATTTCTTTTAAATGCCAAAACCAGTAAGATTTATTTGTACAACAAACCAAACTTAAATAATAATTAAAAATATCTTTTTTAAACCACCTTAAACAGCAATTTCCTGGGATGCTTTAATATTTCAAGCAAAATGAGGTTCAAGTTATTTCTAAGCTTTCTCATTTTGGTCTCTTCCTTTAATCTCCAAAATATATGGAGAATAAATTCATTCTGAGATTCATGCTAAGCAGCCAATAGTATAAAGATGGGCCACAAGGCGGGTGTGTACTTCCAACTGTATTCTTTTAGGCAAACTGAACAGTCTATCGGTTTCCAGCCTACTTACAGGAACAGCTAGTTTAGGAAATAGCCATAAAAGTTAGATGACACTATATACCAGGAGTTCTCTTCTTCTTTTTTCCTTTTTGTACTGGGGAACCAAACCCAGGGTCACTCTACCACTGAACTACATCTCCAGCCCCTTTTGTTTATTTTGAGATAGGATCTTGCCCAGGCTGGCCTTGAACTTGCAATCCTCCTGCCTCAGCCTCCCAGGTAGACTAGGAGTTCTCTTTAAAGACATCAGACTTAAGAGAAACTAGTTTGCCACCATGCCATGCATGGAATATCTACTGCTAGAGGCAATCACTCCCTCAATAGACCCCAGCACACAAACCTGAAAATTCTGTGACTTGAAAGAAGAAAAGTAACAGCCAAACTTCTGTTTCACTGTAGTCCAGAATGATGTAGACATACTTTGGAGAACTTGAGATTTTCTATGAGGCCAAAGGTTTTGTTTTTGTTTTGAATTTGATTTTAAATGAATATTTTATAAGACATCTTAAAATGAAGGGAATAAGCTTATCGGTATGCAATTAGCCATTAAATATAGAGTCCTGAATTAATTAATTCTGTTTTTTAAGTCCTCTAATCCATCAAAAGCTGAGAAACATGTTTTGAATCTTCTTCAAATGAATTTGGTTTATTCTTTTTTTTTAATAGTTGGACACAATACCTTTATTTCACTTATTTATTTTTATGTGGTGCTAAGGATCGAACCCAGGGCCTCGTTGGGTGCAAGGCGAGCGCTCTACCGCTGAGCCACAACCCCAGCCCCCTATTCTTTTTTTTTTAAAACCTCCAGTTTAATTAAATTCTGAGTTTCTAACTATTTTCCTTCTCTACATAAAAATTTTTGATTAATAAAATTAAAAATTCTTGGCAGACTGTACCTTTAATCAATAAACACATTTTGGTCCAATGAAAGATATACCCTTATATATAACCTCTTGGAATAAAATTAAACACTAAATCATACTTGTAAATAATCCCAAGGTCAAAAAGAAATACTAACAAGGACAAGAATTTCAGTTCTGTTATGATAGGGTAACAACCTATCCCATTATAACTGATTATGGCTAAAAACTACAGAAAAATAAGTACCCGAGGATTTGGAAAAGTAAAGAAAAGCAAGGTAATTATGAAGAAAAGCAAAATTTAAGAGCAACCACACTGGATGAGTTTCCCAATTCTTTTTTGACTCTTTTGGCTCTGCCCTGAAGATGGACCCCAGTAAAGGAGCAGAACTACCACAGTTACCATAGGAATGGCT